TTGAGACACCACGGGTGCCTGCTGGATCTCATTCTGACAAGGTGCTCTACCGAGAAAGCAAATGTGCCTTCTCAGAGGCACCTCAAGGATCCACGTTGTCTACGCTAGCCAGAGCACCACATGGGGATACTCCACAAGGCAGGCCAAAGCCACCTAAGGGGCTGCCCTGGATGTCCACAAGACCAAATGTCGCTTCCCAGTCGGGAACCAGAAATGTTGCAGGATGAGCCACAAACAAAATCCCTCAGACACCAGAGTGAGGAGGGAAGAGACTTTATTCGGCCATGGAGCACTGACAAACTTGCGTCCCCAAGACCGAGCTCCCCAAAAAAGCAGTTCCTTTCTCTTTTTAAGGGCTTACAACTCTAAAGGGAGAGTTGAGGTGAAATTGTGTCATTGCCCATTGGCTGGGCAGCTGACCTCACAGTCTTTGGCCTTCATTGATTCACTAATTTATATTTGACTCACGGGGGAAGCAGGGAAAGGGGAAGGGTTACAGGAGCTGAACCAAAGCAGTTAATCACTTTGTGACAGATACAGCTCTAACAGGTACGGGGGGCGGGGGTAGCTTGTGCAAACATGGAGTACATGACTGGGGATAGATTCTTGGGTAACAGGAAGAACATTTCTTTGCTACATTTTCAAGGTTTATAGATAACATAGGCACTAGTTTTATAAGGGGGAATTATTTTCCCAGCCTTCAAGCCTCACTGCGACAACGCCACTGGTGTTGGCTAGTCACCTGACTGCTGACTTCAGATTCTTGCTATTTTACTTTTTTTACCAGCAAGCAACAGGCAGGAAATAAATGGTTTCCCCTCACACTACTACTGGGTACACATAAAATGCAAATGAAATCAATCCATGCAAGAGATAACTGCCTTCCTATGTAGCCTGTAGCACCATGCACGGTAGACAAGATAAGGAATCAACCTACTTGTCTATGCACAGATGAAGGGATGAAGAAAGTATAGTATTCAACTGTAAAGAAAATTTAGAGCATGATTATGTTTCTGTGCCTGGTTCCTCTAGAATTTAAAAACTATCTGTAAGTACTCTTATAGCAATATAGTTGTTTGCATCAGTGCAATAAAAATACATTTTTCTTTGTCAACAAAGCACAACTGGAAAAGCTGGTTATTTTTCCAAGACTTTAACTAAAAGGATGTGTTTCCCTTTAAGGAATCAAGCTTAACATGCAGAGCCAATAAAAGCCCCTTGGGAAAAAGTGGCCTCTTGTCTACACAATCCCTGCACAAGGTTCCTAACCTGTGGTCAGTAAAAAAAATGTCACTTTCTAGCAGATCTGGATGCTCCAAGTTTATCTTGGAACCTCAAAAGGAGAGAATCACCCAGTTCACAGGTATTTGAGGATATAAACCCATAGCTGGGCTCGGCTCCAATCGTCTTATTTAAAATTCCTTGTGAAACAGAGTTTTATCAAAGTCAATCCAAAAGGCCTATGCAGAAATAACCATTCTTGCTCACTTTTATGCAAATAATCAGGCCAAGTATGAAACTAAAGTTTATTCATAATTTGTTTTTTACCAAAAATAAGGACTGAAAAACATGTGCTCCAAAGTTTATCATATATTTTTCATTAAATCCTAGTCTCAGCCAGGCATGGTGGCTCCTCCCTGTAATCCCAGCACTTTGGGAGGCCAAGGTGGGCAGAGAGCCCAGGAGTTCAAGAGCAGCCTAGGCAACAGAGTGAGACTCCATCTGTACAAAAATATATATTTTAAAAAATACCAGGGCCAGGTGTGGGGGCTCATGCCTGTAATCCCAGCACTTTGGGAGGCTGAGGCGGGCGGATCACCTGAGGTCAGGAGTTTGTGACCAATCTGGCCAACATGGTGACACCCCATATCTACTAAAAACACAAAAATTAGCTGGGCATGGTGGTGTGTGCCTGTAATCCCTGCTACTAGGGAGGCTGAGGCAGGAGAATCACTTGAATCCAGGAGGCAGAGGTTGCAGTGAGCTGAGATTGCACCACTGCACTCCAGACTGGGCAACAGAGCAAGACTCCACCTCAAAACAAAAAACACCCAGATGGGTGTGGTGGTGTGTGCCTATAGTCCCCGCTACTCAGGGGCTGAGGTGAGAGTGTTGCTTGAGTCCAGGAGTTCAAGGCTGTAGTCAGCCATGATCACACCACTGCACTCCAGATTTTGTCTCAAACAACTCACATATAACTTAAAAGTTCTCCAGTAACTACATTGAATGCTAAATATTAATTTCTTTAAGTCAGTGATACAACTGGTTTACCTTTTTAGAAGATTGGATTTGACATTGAAGCAAAAGCCTATCAGTCTCAAAATTATTTCTGTCCAAGTTAATTCACTAATGCTTATTGTCAACTCAATATGTTTAAAATTGAATTCAAAGAGACATTACAAACGTTGAAAAGCATTTAAAAATTGATGAATAATACAAACCATTCTTCACATTTTTTATACATTTTATACTCAGTTTACATAACAGACCATTACAGTTAAAGTATTTGACATGACATTTGGGGAGAATGTATAAAGGTATCAGTATCAATTAATATTATGAAAAGTTCCTTTCCATATAAATTTTTATAGTGGCTAGCTGCCTAGCTAGGTCACCACACAAATAAGCTCTTTCTCTCTGTCTCTCTCTCTCTCTCTGATTCTTTCTTTCTTTTTTGTTGTTATTTTTGAGAGGGAGTCTCAATCTGTCGCCCAGGCTGGAGTGCAGTGGTGCCATCTCGGCTCACTGCAACCTCTGCCTCCTGGGTTCAAGCAATTCTCCTGCCTCAGCCTCCCAAGTAGCTGAGACTAAAGGCGCCAGTCACCACACCCAGATAATGTCTGTATTTTTAGTCTAGACAGGGTTTCACCATGTTGGCCAGGATGGTTTCTATCTTAACCTCGTGATCCACCCACCTCTGCCTCCCAATGAGTTGGGATTGCAGGCATTTTACATTTTGTTCCTATGTAGTTCATTCATAAATAGTGCACATTAGTGAGAAAATGTAAGTATGGACTGCCATGTAAAAAATGTATTACCTTCTATTTCTTTCAATAAACATAGCTCTATATATCTACTATTTCCATAAAACACTTATGTAGCTCTTGTTTTATTTTCATAAAATGATGCTTCATAGAATTTGCACATATATGCTGAATGTTTTTAGCAATTATATCAATCAATTATGTTTTTCTTTTTTTTTCATTTTTTAAAATTGCCAATCTATTTTTCTACCCAATCCAGTATCCACGATATACAGGAGGATATAAGCAGACTACCATGAATATTTACAGGATGATACACCAAAAATTACCAAGGAACAAATCCTGCAAAGTAGCAAATTGTTGCTTATCCATATCCACTCAACTGTACAAGGTTTATTTCTAGGACAATTTCCCATTCTCTGTGAAAGAAGTTCTGTGAATTTATACCTTTCATAAGGGTCACGCAAATATGCTAAGAGCTGATACCATCATGTTTTTATATTAACAGCCGAGAAAGGCTTTTAAAGAACACTCTCTTTCAGTCCAATGTTACAGCATCAATGGGCTCATAGGCAGGATGTGACTTCCTCAAAGGAAATGCTTCTCTCTTCTTGGCCTCCCTGAGACCCTTCTCTTAGTACACAGGAGAAGGAGCTCCCCTTGATAACACCCTAGTTCCAGCAGATGGTGTGGAGATCATCAACACACAATGGGGAAAAGAAACTGACCCCCTTACCTACTAAATGCAATACAGATCTAGGGGGGCAGTCTCCAGATCTCCAACAGGCAGACATTACGTGGCCTGTATTTAGTACACAGCACATTCTCTTGAGAGAAAGCAGGAATGAACATTCTCAGAAACATTCACATTGTAGCTTTACCCAAAGTATATAGGAAATGGCAAAAACCTAAACCTAGCTGGACATTTTATACAAGTAAGTCAAAGTTCAAAGGAATCATCCTATCTTTATTCTCAGGAATCCAGTGGGTTGAATACCACAGTTCTTCTTTAATGAGAGCAGAAGATTCAGAGTGCTTATCTCCCAAAATGCCTCAGCAAAGGGCAGCACAGAGAATGGAATATAAAAGGCTTAATGGCGTTAATACATGGAAGACAATTCTCAGTCAACCTCGCCACAGTTTTCTGTCTTGGCCATCTGTAAGAAATGACCACATTTGATATTCAACTTTCACATTCAAAAAAAGAAATCAATTCAGCCTCAGACACAAATGAAAAACAAACAACAACAGCAACAACAACAAAAACAAATGGCAATAGCCTACATATCTAAACGCTTGACACTCAGGGAACTGTCCCACAAAGACACGCTCAAGGCCAGTAGTACCTGTTTATAATTTGGCATGTACTGGTTGAAGGGCAACAGGGCCTGGAGCTAAAATATTCAATTTTTAAAATATAATACATCAATGAATTAGACAAATGTAGACATATATGATACCACATTAAAGACTCATACACAATACTGTGCTGACTGAAAATATTTTGGGACACTAAAAGGAAAAGATAATAGGAAAATAATTACAAAGGAGCATTTCAGTCCAAAGCCAGTCCAGTGAGTATGTACAACTAGGATTTCCAATCTTTAATCTCCAAAGAAGCTGATTAATAAATTATAACATCACTTCACTCACATTTGGGGCACACAACATACTTCCAAGTACAGTAATCCTTCTGACGTTTCGGTTTCACTGCTATTTGATGACTAAGTCATTTCTGGCTATAAAAATCGTCCTAATATATTTTAATTAGCCATTTAACACTATAGAGGCTGCTCTCTTCGAGAGACCAGACAAGCTTCACAGAATCTGATCTAATGAAGGTGAACAATGGGGAAAAAAGGAGACATTCACTGGGGTTTTTTTGCCAATCTTTCTCTCTCGCTTGAAAAACTCTGCAATCACTTAATGTTTTGCTTCAGAAAAAGAAAGCAAAACTAGCTGGGAATATATCCATACATTAATGCTTTGTGTTTACTAGCATGATACAAAATAAATTCATAGATGTCAGTCAATAGTTTCTTAAAGACCAAATGTGAATTTTTAATCTTGTAACTTAAGAACTGAGTTTTTCCACATTCTTTTATAGAGTTAGCATCTGTAAACTGAGACCCTTTTTTGGACAATCATACAAATTTAATTTGTCCCTGGAAACAAAACACAACCTAACAGATTAACAAAATATGTCCTTTACACAATATTTTTTCTGTGAATTTTGCTGCACTGTTACCATTTTTATCCTTTAGCAAACAAAACTACACTTAAAAAGTTTATGTATTTCGAGTTCACAAACAGCTAAACTCTTAATTAAGAAGACTATGAAGTCGACGCACTCTCATTTCAGAACTGGCTCCCCTCTTTTCAAAAGTAAATTCTAAAAGTTGTTTGGTTATGATTATTAAGTTATATGAGCTAGACATTTCCACTGCCATCAATGCTTCTGTAAAATGGAATAAAGATTTTATTATACCACACACACAAAAAGCAATCGGTACAGAAAAAGCAGTTTTCAGTTATTCTGTTGAGAATTTCTTTCCATGATTTCTCCCATTAAAGTATAGTTTTCAAAGCAACCACCACGACAAAGGAAGCATCTAATTAGTCCATTTTCTTCTGATCCAAGAATGCTGAACATTTACTGTCCCATCTGTAGTTGTATCAGCAGTGTAAGGAACACAGTTGATATTACTTCACTACTCTTTGAACTCCAAGAACTGTTGAAGCCTTTTCTGATGTTCTGCAGATGCTTGCACAGCATTCAGATGTTCGCCAAATGTAGCAGTTATTCTATCGATAGCAGTTTTTAGTGATGCTCTGAATGCAAATCTTAATGTTTTATATGAAGTGTCCACAAGGCTTCCTGAAATCCGGGGTGGTTTACTGGAAGCATGAGGAAGCTTAAAGTACTTGTCGACTGCCTCTTTCCGTGTCAACAAAGTATTAAGGATAGCTGGTAGTGTAGTCTGGACAACTCCAAATCTATCCTCTCTATATGATGCTGCTGCTAACTGCGACAGACCTTCTAACGCCCAAATGTGCATTTGGGCATCCGAAAAAACAGGCTGAATGGAGGCCTCTGGGTGCTTACTAAAAAAATACATTATCAGCACCCGTTTTGACAAGAAATTCTTAATCTGTTCACGTTTATTCTGAATCCATGAATAAATCACATTGGGTTGTCTCACTGTCTTACCCTCAGCACTAATAGAGGTAGACGGAGAAGGATTAGAAAATTCAGTCATTTGCTGATCAGAAGCAGATGTCCATAATCTTGGCCCTCTTTTTAGCTGAGGACTTTGCGGTGACTCATAGCAGGTATTTACATCAAAAATTCCAGCCATGCGATGCACTACACTAGAGCCAAACGGGATCCCAGGGGGACTCGCAACATCAGGTGTAGATAATTTTGAAGAAAACAGTGATGTTTTAACTAACGGTGGCACTGAAGGCCGAGGCATCTGCCTAGACTTTGGTGTTTGAAAAGTAGTTTCTTCCGGAGAACTAAATTTCTTAGATTCCACTGGGTAAGATGAAGACACTCTCCCACTCATAGCAGCAGCTTCTTGATAGAGAACCAGTTTCTGAGTCATACCGTTTAAAAGATTCAAACACCCCATTGAAATGGCTGTCCAATTGTGGGGATACCTGGTTGGCTAAGGCTAAAAACTTCTTGTCTTCGTGAAGGCGAATACTGAGAAAGCAACATCAGGTCCTGCAAGGCTAAATACTTTATGATGGGCGGAGGATTGCTGTTTAACACTTTCGGAAGGCACTCATCTGACCCTTCTGCAAATGGTTGAACAGGAAACACATGAGCCTCTGTGGCATAGATTTTGAAGAGTATCCATGAGATATACCAAGTCATCAGGAAAAAGACACCACAGAGCCAGACATGGTAGAGTAATGAGAGGTTTAAGAGGCCACTCACTGTGACAAGTGGCCTCTGAACCTGCTCATCTATGTGAAGGTTCATAGCAGTGCTAATCCAAGTTTTGGGAATATGGCCAAGAAGATAATATAAAATGCAGAAATTTCTAACCAGGAACAGTGATTCCACACAACTGTGTTTAACTAGTAAGAGCAGAGATCTCCTAAAACGCAAAAACTTGTATTGCTGTAAGATGGGAAATGGAAGACAGTTCATGTTGTTAACAAAATATGGGAGGCTATAGCTATAGCCCACAAATGCTCCAGCCAGTAGAAAAAAAGATGATATTCATTTAAGCAGGTTTGCACTGCAGGGCTACCAAAGCTGTTAGTACCAGTGCAGGGAACCACAGGAAAACTGTACTGACCCTGGGTAATGACTGCAGCACACCAGGCCATCACCATTCCCATTGCAGCATGAATAAATGAGTGCATGAGTTGCTGAGGATGAATGATCTTCCCTATCAGAGCTAGTCTGGAGCAGGGGATGGAAGGCACAACTGTATAAAACTCCACACTGAAAATACTTATTATTATTACCACTGACAGCAGCAGGAGGTAAAAGATTACATAGGAACTATACAGGTCACTGAAAGAATTAGACAGCCACTGCATAGGATGAAACAAATCAATGCTGCTAAAAATTATAATGTAGTGCAGATGGGTAGAAGCAGCACTGACCAAACAATACTTGCAACTATCCTCCAGCCCAGAACGCACCACGGTATGTTCCACGACCTGCCAGCACATGGCCTGCCCATTCATGGCCGTGGCCATGGAGATGGAGGCCCCTAGTCTAGAGAGCGCAGGAGACTGTGCGCCTGCCCGCCACCTCCCAATTATGTTTTTCATAGAGTCTGCTGTCAAAACTGAGCACAATATTTTTGAATACATGTCACGGAGTAGACTAAAGCAATAAAGGGAAACATCAGTCTATTGCTTTAAAATCCCATTAAATCCAGAATTTTGACTTAACATGGCTGGATTACTGTTCATCATTATAAAACCTTTTTTTTTTTTACATTTAACTGAAATTGTTATTTGATAAATGTAAAAGATTAAAAATATCTATGTCACAGGTTTGATCTTCTAGGCTATAAATTGGCAACCTTTCTTTATGTCTGGATGTCCTTTGGGATAAAATGTATTTTAAATTATTGAACAGTGTCTCATGTCACATGACTCAACAACAGCTAAAGAAAGATACTTGCCAATTTTCAAATTTGGAATCCATTAATTTTTCATCAGAAAGCATTGTATTTACACTCTGTCACCCAGGCTGGAGAGCAGTGGTGTGATCATGACTCACAGCAGCCTTGACCTTCAGGGCCCAAGCAATCCTCCCATCTCAGCCTCCCAAGTAGCTGGGACCACAGGCATGGCCCACCACCTGGCTAATTTTTTAATTTTTATAGAGATGAGGTCTCTCTTATATTGCCCAGGCTGGTCTCGAGCTACTGGCCTCAAGTAATCCTCCTGCCTGGGCCTCCCACAGTGCTGGGATTATAGGCATAAGCCACTGCACCTGGCCACTTGCATTATTTCTGTGAGAAATCTGCTGTCATTGTCTTTGTTATTCTGTATATGTTGTACTCTTTTTTTTCTTCTGGCCACTTAAAATTTTCTCTTAGATGAGTTGGTTGAAGAAATTTGGTGATTATTATGTGCCTCAGTATGGCTTTCTTCATGTTTTTATGATTGTGGTTTGCTGAACTTTTTAGATCTGTGGGTATATAATTTTCATCAAATTAAGAAAACTTTCTGCCATTATTTTTTCAAATCCCCCCTTTTCTTTTAGAGACTCCAACTGCAAAAATACCTGACCACTTGATGTTCTTATTTTTCCAGTACTTTAGGCTTCTGTTAATTTTGAAGTTTCTACTGCTCTGTCTTCAGGTTCACTAATCTTCTGCAATTTCTAATCTGTCATCAATCCCATCTAGTGTATTTTCGGCACACTGTTTTGTAGTTTAATTTGGTTTTAGATTTTAAAACAAAAGTGTGGATGAACAGGTAGGTTGACTCCTTATCCTGGCTCTTGTGAATAGTTCTGGAATCCATATGAGAAGGCAGTTCTCTTGATTTCAACTGCTTTGAGTGTATTCCTAGTAGTAGAATTGCTGGTTGAAATGGTAGTTGTAGTCACAAGGTTTGGAGGAACTTCCAAGTGGTTTCTGTAGTGTTTAGTGTGGTATACTAGTTTAGTGTAGTGTTTAGTGTGGTATACTAGTTCAGTGTAGTGTTTAGTGTGGTATACTAGTTTAGTGTAATATATTATTTTCTGTAGTGTTTAGTGTGGTATACTAGTTCAGTGTAGTGTTTAGTGTGGTATACTAGTTCAGTGTAGTGTTTAGTGTGGTATACTAGTTCAGTGTAGTGTTTAGTGTGGTATACTAGTTCAGTGTAGTGTTTAGTGTGGTATACTAGTTCAGTGTAGTGTTTAGTGTAGTATACTAGTTCAGTGTAGTGTTGAATGTGGTATACTAGTTTAGTGTAATATATTATTTTCTGTAGTGTTTAGTGTGGTATACTAGTTTAGTGTAGTGTTTAGTGTGGTATACTAGTTTAGTGTAGTGTTTAGTGTGGTATACTAGTTTAGTGTAGTGTTTAGTGTGGTATACTAGTTTAGTGTAGTGTTTAGTGTAGTATACTAGTTTAGTGTAGTGTTTTGTTTAGTATATTATTTTCTGTAGTGTTTAGTGTAGTATACTAGTTTAGTGTAGCATTTAGTGTAGTATATTATTTTCTGTAGTGTTTAGTGTAGCATACTAGTTTAGTGTAGTGTTTAGTGTAGTATACTAGTTTAGTGTAGTGTTTTGTGTAGTATATTATTTTCTGTAGTGTTTAATGTAGCATACTAGTTTAGTGTAGTGTTTAGTGTAGTATACTAGTTTAGTGTAGCGTTTAGTGTAGTATATTATTTTCTGTCGTGTTTAGTGTAGCATACTAGTTTAGTGTAGTGTTTAGTGTAGTACACTAGTTTAGTGTAGTGTTTAGTGCAGTGTATTATTTTCTGTAGTGTTTACTGTAGTACACTTGTTTAGTGTAGTGTTTAGTGTGGTATACTAGTTCAGTGTAGTGTTTAGTGTGGTATACTAGTTCAGTGTAGTGTTTAGTGTGGTATACTAGTTTAGTGTAGTGTTTAGTGTAGTATACTAGTTCAGTGTAGTGTTGAATGTGGTATACTAGTTTAGTGTAATATATTATTTTCTGTAGTGTTTAGTGTGGTATACTAGTTTAGTGTAGTGTTTAGTGTGGTATACTAGTTTAGTGTAGTGTTTAGTGTGGTATACTAGTTTAGTGTAGTGTTTAGTGTGGTATACTAGTTTAGTGTAGTGTTTAGTGTAGTATACTAGTTTAGTGTAGTGTTTTGTTTAGTATATTATTTTCTGTAGTGTTTAGTGTAGTATACTAGTTTAGTGTAGCATTTAGTGTAGTATATTATTTTCTGTAGTGTTTAGTGTAGCATACTAGTTTAGTGTAGTGTTTAGTGTAGTATACTAGTTTAGTGTAGTGTTTTGTGTAGTATATTATTTTCTGTAGTGTTTAATGTAGCATACTAGTTTAGTGTAGTGTTTAGTGTAGTATACTAGTTTAGTGTAGCGTTTAGTGTAGTATATTATTTTCTGTCGTGTTTAGTGTAGCATACTAGTTTAGTGTAGTGTTTAGTGTAGTACACTAGTTTAGTGTAGTGTTTAGTGCAGTGTATTATTTTCTGTAGTGTTTACTGTAGTACACTTGTTTAGTGTAGTGTTTAGTGTGGTATACTAGTTCAGTGTAGTGTTTAGTGTGGTATACTAGTTCAGTGTAGTGTTTAGTGTGGTATACTAGTTTAGTGTAGTGTTTAGTGTGGTATACTAGTTTAGTGTAGTGTTTAGTGTAGTATACTAGTTCAGTGTAGTGTTGAGTGTAGTATACCACTGTTAATGGGTACCAAGCCTGATTCTATGTCTTCACCATTGTAAGTGGTATACTGCCATGAACATATGAGTGCATGTGTGTGGTGGACTAAGGATTTTTCTTTGGGTAGATCTTTTGGAGTGGGATTGCTCGGTTGGATGGTAGTTCCCTTTTAAGTTCTTTGAGAAATATCCACACTTTGTGATATTTCTTTGAGAAACATCCAGGGTGTCTGAACTAGTTCGCATTTTCCCCAACAGTGGACCTGCATTCCTTCCCTCCTCTGCCCCACCAGTTCGCAATTCTTGTGAACTGTGTCATTAATCACCATTTTGACCAGTGTGAGATCGTATCTCAATATGCTTTTGATTCATATTTCTCTGATAATCAGTGAGGTTGAGCGTGTTTTCATGTTTCTTTGTCACTGATACACCTTCTTTTAAGTTCTTGTTCATGTCCCTTGCCCATATATAAATTCAATTTGTTTTGTTTTTTTTTTGCTGATTTACTTGTTTAAGGTTTTTAAAGTAATCCTGGATATTAGACCTTTGTCAGATGCATAGTTAGGGAGTATTTTCCCTCATTCTGTAGGCTGTCTGTTTACTCTGTTGGTAATTTTTTCTACTGTGCAGCAGCTCTTTTGTGTATTAGGTCCTACTTGTCAATAACTGTTATTGTTGCCATTGCTTTTGGGGACTTGGCATATATATGCTTTGCCAAAACCTCTGTCAAGAAGGGTATTTCCTAGGTTCTCATGCAGGATTTTCACAGTTTGCGTTCTTGCATTTAAATCGATTCATCTTGAGTTGCTTTCTGTAAATGGTGAGACACAGGGACCCAGTGTTATTCTTCTGCATCTGGCTAACAACTTATCCCAGCGCCACTTATTGATAGGAAGTCCTTCCTCCATCACTTACTTTTGTGGATTCTTTTCAAAAATCACATGGTTTTAGATGTGCAGGCAGGCTTATGCCTGGGTTCTCTAATCCGTTCCATTGCTCTGTGGAACTGGGTCCCCCAGGTTTTCAACGAAAATGCCAAACCATTACATTGTTTATGGGTGTTTTCTTATAGTTTTTCCTTATTAAAATTTTCTTTTTACCTTTTCCAGACTGTGTGTGTGGATTTCTTTTGTAAAATATATGCACATCCTATGTTTCCTTGTAGGAATTTCACAGTTTCAGAATTGGGTTTAGGTCTTTAACATATTTTGCACTGATTTTTGTGTTGCATGAAATAAAGGTCCTATTTCAGTGTTTTGTATGTGAATATGCAGTTTGCTCAAAATCATTTATTGAACACACTCTCCCTTTCCCATTTTGTCTTTTTGGTGTTCTTTTGAAAAATGTGTTCACTACATATAAATTTGGGTTGAGTATTTGGTTTACCGATTCTGTCAACTTTCTAACTTCATGCCAGTAAAAGATTATTTGGATAACTATAAGTTTGTTTTTTCACTTATTTTTTAGCTTTTAAGTTTGCATTTTTTAAATAACTTCTACTTTTATTATAGACTAAAGGATTCAAAGGCAGATTCGTTACATGGGTACATTGCATGACATGAAGACTTGGGGTCCCAGCGACCTTGTCACCCAGGCAGTGGCAGTAGCCACTGGATTGGTCTTCAGCACATACTTTATCCTGTCCTCCTTTTTCCCATCTGATAGTCATCAGTGTCTGTTGTTTTCAGTTTTGTGGTAGGGTGTATTCAATGTTTAGCTCCACCTTGTAAGTGAGAACAGGTGACATTTGGTGGTTTTTGTTTTTTGGTTTTTGGGTTTTTTTTGAGACAGAGTCTAGCTCTGTCACCAGGCTGGAGTGCAGTGGTGCAATCTCAGCTCACTGCAACCTCCACCTCCTGTGTTCAAGTGATTCTC